TTTTCAAGAACAGCTCTTATCAGAACTATGGCTTGCCCAAGGTCATCCAGCAGCTGCAAGTGGAGGAGTGGGGAATCAAACCCGGTTCTCCCAGATTAGAGTCCGCCGCTCTTAAACCACGACACCAAACTCACTCTCACATGAAGTTGCCTTATACTGAATCAGACCTCTCAAGGTCGGTATTGTCTCCTCCAGTGTTCTCTCTCTAAGCTGAGTTAAGTGTGAGCCAGCTCACAGTTTTTTAGCCTCTGGCTCACACATTTTTGTCTCAGCTCAGGAAGGATGGCTCCAGAGCACACTAATTTATGCAGTAGCCAAACTGCTCGCTCAAAACTTTAATGCCAGGAGCTCACAAAAAAGTAGAATTTTTGCTCACAAGACTCCACAGCTTGGAGGGAGCATTGGTCTACTCTATACCCAACCAGATCTCTCAAGGTCAGTATTGTCTAAAGTAAAGGTAAAGGTTCCCTTGCTCGAAAGCCAGTCGAGTCTGACTCTAGGGTTACGGTGCTCATCTCCGTTTCAAGGCCAAAGAGCCAGCGCTGTCCGAAGACGTTTCCGTGGTCATGTGGCGAGCATGACTAAACACCAAGGCGACCGGAACGCTGTTACCTTCCCACCGAAGTGGTACCTGTTTATCTACTTGCAATTTCTTGCTTTCGAACTGCTAGGTTGGCAGGAGCTGGAACTAGAGACGGGAGCTCACTCCATCATGAGGCACCCGGGTCTCGAACTGCTGAACTACCGACCTTCCATAGCCTGCAGTTCAGCGTCTTAACCACTTGAGCCACTGCAGCTCCCAGTATTGTCTACTCAAAGTAGCATCTGACAAATGGAGCTTTGACTGCAAATCTTGGTCTCTAAGATGCTACTACTGCTGTAAGGTACAACTGGACTACCCGCTGAAACGATCAGATCAGACCGGCAGGGGATCTCCAGGGTCTCAGGCACAGGTCTTTCCCATCACCTTCTCCCTGACCCTTTCAACTGGAGACGGCAGGGATTGAACCTGGGACCTTCTGCATGCCGGGCAGAAGCTCTGCCACTGAGCCACGGCCCCTCCCCTTCCCATGGTAGCTCCTCACCCTGCATTGGCTGCCGCTCAAGCCTGTCACAAACCTCAAGCACATTTTAGAGGGCAGAAGGGAGAGGAACTGTGGAGCTGGGGGCGTAGGCGGGGCTAAACGCCACCAGTGTAAGGGCCAAAGATAGCATCTTTTAGAGCCTAGTTTTTATTAGCAATTGAGTCACAAGAGGAATATATTTCCTTCCGCCCATGTTTAGCAATTGGAATTCAGGCCATTAAAATACATGCAAAGGTAAAGAGTCAGCTGACGAATCAAGTCAGAATCAAGGACAGAGGATACCTGCGATATCAGGTTAGACCGAGAGAGCAGCTTAACTATAACAAGATTTTAAGATGCAGAAAAATCGGCATTGCCAGATGATGGTGATATTAATAATAATATACAATTACACATTATAAAATTATTATAACGTTATAAAATTGTTGTTGTGACTACCACTACGACTACCACCACTACTACTATCACCACTACTACAGTTTGGCGTCGTGGTTAAGTGCGCGGACTCTAATCTGGGAGAACCGGGTTAGGTTCCCCACTGCTCCACTTGCACCTGCTGGATGACCTTGGGCAAGCCATAGTTCTGGCACAGCTGTTCTTGAAAAAGACCAGTTTCTGTCTGTAATGTATCCAGTCCTGACAAGTACAGACAAGTCCAGAGAGAAACAGTCCAGACAAGTCCAGAGACCAACGTTGAGCTTCGCTCCAAGAGACAATGGACTATGCGGATCCTAGCCCGCTTCAATCAGGGGGCTAGGTTCCTGGCCAAGAGCCAATGGGACTCTTGGCCACTGTAAATAACCTATTGGGAAGTGGAGGGGTGTTTTGGGTGGCGGTTTCTCGAGGAGTATAAGCCGGCCTGCGAGCTGGCCAAAGCTGTCTTGTTCCTGATCAAATAAAGTACGCTTTGCTGAAATCACTCTCCGTCTGCGTACTTTTCACTGTCAGAGCTCTCTCAGCCCCACCCACCTCACAGGGTGTCTGTTGTGGGGAGGGGAAGGGAAAGGAGATTGTAAGCCACTCTGAGACTCCTTTGGGTAATGAAGGACGGGGTATAAATCCAATTATTATTGTTGTTGTTGTTGTTGTTGTTGTTGTTGTTAATAATAACAAATAATACCAGCTTGGCTCCAGAAGACCGTGTTGCTCAGAACAGGGAGAATCGTGAGAAGATATCTCTGTGATTCCGGAGGACTTGGCTAGATCTCGAACTACAGAACACCATCTGTCGGACTGTGACAATCCATAATAATTATAATTATAATGATTATCATCATCCTAATCGTCATAATCATAATCCTAATAAG